GTCTCTCCTGACACCAGGATTTCACAGGAAAGCTGCTTTTTTCCTCTCCCCTGGGTTGTGGGGGGTCAGCAAACCTGCAAGGGACACACGAGCCCCTCAGGACTGCCCCCCACCCATGGCACCATGCCACCTGAGCACCCCAGCCCTGCACAGATGGGACCGACATCCACCCGTTGCTCATTTCTTTCCCCTCAAGTCCTCCAGCAGAATACTGTGCAAGCATGTTTTTACTTACTGATGGCCACCATCCCACATGGTAGCAACAAGGCCCATGTCCCTAAAGTCCATGGGGACAGTAAGTGCCCGTTTCTTCTCCTGTCCCCAAAGCCGTTGCTTCAGGAGGGACTCGACAGCTTCACCTCTGCAGGTCCATCTTGCAGAGAGGTGATGGCTGAGCTCTGCCCAGCTCTCCGCCGGGCTGCTCTCCCTGTGCCCCCCACCCCAGGCTCAGACTTGCTTTCTCAAGGGGTAATTTTAGTCGTTTCCATGGAAGTTGCACAGAACCTCAGTTCAAAAACCAGACAAACTCTGTCGAGGAGCTCTGCGCAGAGCGGAGCTGGGAACGCCATCTCCTGGCGTCCTCTCAATCCGGCCACGCCGCCGATGGAGAGACAGCCCGCATCCGAGCTGACCCCACGCTGCACAAGGTCAACGGTGGCGGTTTGGGGCCTGTGAGACACCGATCGAGTGGGTCCCCGCCGTGCTCGGCACCCGGCGTATGCCGTAGTGGTGCGGTCCCGCGCGATCCCGTGCATTCACACCTCAGTGCAAATACCTGGCCTAAACCCGGCAGCTGATGGGTCGGGCACTTTGCATCGTGGCTGCGGAGCTGCCGGAGAGCATCTACCAGCCCCTGAGCCCACCCGCGCTCCAGGGTGATCCCCTTCCTGCGAGTAAAGCACCTGCAATTCAACCCCAACTCCAGCGGGATGGCTCAAAGCACTTCTGAGAACGAGAGGCCAGGCTCCATCCAGACACTGAGATTTTAACATGGGGGTCTCTGGCATTTGCACCCCTGTTAAGAAGGGAGCTGCTCTGCAAAGGGGACTTTCAGCTCAGAGGCAGCGTGGCAGCGAAACCCAAAGCAGACACTGCTCTGTCACCAGGAGCCATCGCGTCCGCCTGCCTCCAAATAAACAGCCTTGCGTACAAGAGGAAAACAGCATATGGGGAGAAGCCTTGGCAAGGCTGGAGGTCTGGTGATCAGCTCCTTGGAGCTGCTCTGCCACTGGCCTGAAAGAACAACTCCATCAGCTACAGCAAACAGACCTTCTGCTTCCCCCAATTCAGAATTCATCACAGGCTCAAATACAGACACTCCAGGCTTTTTCCTGCTTTAATTATTTAAAAATCCTAACTCTGGTTGTTTATTTTCAGGGGCTATTACTGCATTCAACTATTTTAAGACTGAAAAAAAAACAGAAGAAAAAATTTGAAGCCTTTCCTTCATTCTGCTGGTGAAGTTTAATTCACTCTAATTATTTCATATTACTTAGACTATAATAGTTTCATAATTTCTAGTATATTAAGCACTTAATACGTTGTGTCATTTGAAGTCGCATATTAAATTCAGCAAAGTACATTTTAATGAGAGCTTAAGTAGTGTGAAAATATTAATACAACATAATAGTTCATTTTTGCACCCACATTGCTGCCCATGCACAGTGTGCCCAGGCAGGTGAGCGCAGGGGAGGCCGGACAACCTTGTGGGCCGGAAAGCTGCTGGGGAAAACATGGCTCCAGCAGCCCGGCACGAGGAAGGTGGGAGCTGGGAAAGCACCGCACAGCAGAGCCTGGCTGTGGGCCCTGACCAGGGGCTGGGGTCTGGAGCAAGAGTCCCCCCGAGGTGCGGCAGTGCCAGCAGCACAGCACGCTTCCCCCCGCAGTGCCAGCGGACACGGCCAGGTACCCGGGCCAAGTTCCTCTGTGGCTCCTCCACAGGGTCACCCTGTGCCACCTCCAGCCCACGAGGTGCCAGCAATGACCCAGCTGGAGCAGTGCAGAGGAACATGCAAGGAAAGAGGCTCAGCTGCTCCCTTACAAGCTCCAAAGAGGCCCGACTATTTCATTCCCCCCGGCAACCCACCTCTTAGCTTGCAGAGCTTGACTCTACTTTTTTATTCACCTCTTTATCATCTCCCTGGTCTTATGCATCCCTTCCCCATCCCAGCAAGGTGATCCCTCTTCCCATAAGCTTACCTGCATGAAAGATGTCACCAGCAACCCCAGCCCCACTGCTCCCGCCCAGGGTCACGTATCGCAGACACCTGCAGCTCACACAGTGCAAAAGGGTGCCTGCCCCCAAACAGGCCACAAGTGTTTTGCCTGATGCTCAGAGAAACAAGGAGAACGCAAGAAAGTCAGCTGCACTTCCACCCCAAAGGTTTTGTAACCTTCAGCCCAGACAATCACGTTCACCTGCGCCAGCTGTGGCTCGGATGGTCTTCCTCACCCATAGGTGATGGGGGCTGCTGCTATTTGCTCCAGCACAGCTGATCCCAGGGTCAGGCACCCACTGCCCCGGCCCTGCCGAGGGGAAAAAGCCACGCTGAACTGCTGAGGGGCATAATGCCTAATAAAAAACAGGGGGTTTGATCGGGGACTTACATGGGGATTTAGGCTGGGAGGCACCTCTAGAGACCCCCAGCCCGGAGCTGGTTGGCGAGAGGAGCTGCTGGGCAGACATGGACTCCGCTATGCTGGCAGGATGCGGCCATGCAAGAGCACCCGGTGGCTGGAGGACCCGGCCCCATCCCTTCGCAAAATGACCTCGCAGGGTGCCGCCGGATCAGGCCCAGCGGAGCGGGGGGGGATGCCGGGCCGGAGCACTGTGCATCGCTGTGCCCCCCCTCCCGGGGCCGGGGGGGGGGGGGGCCCCCC